CAGCTAAAAACAACCAATTTGCTTCTAACACTCCTCACACCACGCGTTCCTCAAACCCGCATCGCAAGTCTAACGGCGAGCTTTGAGGCTCAGAACGCACGCTTTCGTTGGCATGCAACCCATCCACGCGCTCGCTACGCCGTGCACCTGTCCCATCGTATTTCATGCCATCAGCGGGGCGCATGAGGTGAAGGTGAGTCTCGAACTCCTCCAGTCGTTGGATGAATGCCAAGTTCAGAGAGATGCAGGGCCTTTTTCTGCGTACATTCTCGAACGCCGTCCGAAAGGACTGCCCCTCTGAGGCCATGATGTATGCAATCACTATCGCGGCACTGCGGGAGATGCCTCGGCGACAGTGCACTAAGACCCTGCCATGACGGACGGCGTTGCGAATAAACTCAAAGGCCTCGTCAAAACACTGCTCCAAATCCTCATTCTGGCTGTCGCTTAGCGGGATGCACTTGCTCTTGACAAAGCGTATGGAATTCATCCTGTGAAGTTCCTCCTCCGGGATAAGCTCACGAGCCACATTTAGTACATGAGTGATGTGGTACCGGCGCAGCAACTTCTCATCCGCGGCATCGCGCCAGGTGCCGATGAAAACCAGGTTGTTGATGTCGCTGATAGGGTAGCACGCGGCGGCATTGCACACCTCCTCCCTCTCCTCCTCCTTGATCACATCCGTGTGCTGGCGGACAAGATCCAGGTTAAACGCAGGGAGAAGATTCTTCGCCATCTTCTGCCTGCAGCGCGACATCAGACCCATTGAATATCGGCCTCTCTCTCTTTCTCCCTCTCTCTCTCTCCCGCTCGAGCACGCACAGTTAAACTCAACGTAACAAAACGGTTTTTCTCGTTAATAAGTAAGCTAATTATATATAAACTTATATATATATATATATATTTAGCTATATATAAGTATATATGCACACAGATAGATGGATATATATATATATATATATTAATGCGGCGTGAATACAAGTGACAGGCTCCAACCTTTGATGGGAGGAAGCCTTAACTAGGGCTAGGCCCAAGTCCTGCGGGGGGGCGCCAAGTTGTCTGCCACGAATTTGCGGCAGGGGGACGAATCCAAGGCACACACCGCGCACACCAGCGGGGCAACACCAAAACGGGAAGACAAATTGAGTTTGCCACTTCCACCTGCTGCCCCCTCAGTCTACTAAAGCAAAACGCTGAAACACACGCACGCGTAAAGTAAAATAAAAATAAACAACTTCGGCAAGGGATAATCCTCCTTCGTTCTTATCCCTCTATTCTTCGGTTTACAAAACACTCGCAACAAAACAACAACAAGCCGCGTAAGCGAGGGACGTACGACCTACAATATATATATTTCAGTGGGAAAGAGTGGGTACAGGACGCGTTTACCGCGTGAAACACTACTGGAGTGCAAGTAAGTGACGGACAGTTATTGCTGAAATATAATATTGACTGAGAACGCGTAGAGGCTAACTTTTGCCCACACCTCGCAAGGGGGCCTGCAACAGTCAAATCTGTGCCTACAACTTCAGAAAAAAAAAAAAAAGGTATTTCCCCTTCTCCAAAACTCTGTCAGAAACACAGGCTATACCAATCACACAGATATACTCGCGCACGCGACCTCTCACTCCTGCTAAATATCCTACTTAACTTGTTATTATCTTCCTACTGCTAAGTGATATTGATGGATGCCACCTTTCTCTTCTTCCTCTTCCTCAGCGTATTTTGCTTTTGTGCTTGGCTTTCCGCTGGGCACTTCCGCTCCGCAAAAGCGAGCGGCAAAGAAGGGTGAAAAGAGAGAAAAAAAAAGACAGACATAAAGAGTAATAGAGAGACGCGTTCCATCTCCGCCGAGCCTGCCGAACGGTGGAAGGGCACCAGTGCTTTGTCGGCCGCACACGCACAAAAAGATACAAACAAAAGGAACAGAATGAAAAAAGAGGCAAGAAAAAAGGATGCGGCGCCGATCGCCCTGCACCTGAGAGGACGCAATCGCCGCCACCATCAACACCGCGTTCCAATATCATCCCAGTGGTATGACAAGCCGCAGGCTGTCGACGAGACACCGTGCCAAATCGTCGCTCGGGAGGCTCCCTAAATTCAATTCTGGCGCCTTGTCCTCGTTCGCAGCCGCCACGTTTGCCAGGAGCGCCTCCACCTCGGCAAGGCGCCCCAGTCGCTTTGCATCCACGGCGGGGTCCGGAGCATGGCACGCTGCCACCCGAACAGTGCCGCAGTGTTCACATTGGGGCACCTGTGCACTTCGGCTGTGCCCCCCGCAGCGAGAGCAACGCCACGGGGAGTACGGCAACGCGGGGGAGTCGGCCGAGCGTCGCGTTCCACAGCCGCGACGCTGGCAAACACTATTCCAACTGCTGTTCACCGACAAGCACACAACACAGCTCCATGCATGGACCTCCATTGCCGCAATGGCGGGGTGCAGAGAAAGGCAGTGGGGACAGCTAAATCCCCGCACCAATCGACCCCTGCAACTCACGCAGGCCCACGTCTCATGCACCGCAAACCGCACCGGATCAACCCGTAACGCGTCACAACCCCTGCATGCCTCAACAGACTCACACCATGGTGGGTGAAGGGAACCCTCAGCGTCACGATGGTGGTGCTGGCGTCCACACACATGACACGACCAAGGGCAATCAGGCAATCCAGCAAGGAACTGACGAAGCACTCCTATGCATTGTTTGCAATTCTGGCAACTTTCACCATCGCTGGGGGTCAGCCAGTGGCAAAAAGGGCAGCGCAGCAGTCGGCGTCGCCGTGCCGCGAGGTCACGTGGATGGATTTCGTTGCACGATGGGCAGACATCCCCGACCGCCGCCGTCGCCGCTAGATGACGAGGCTGCAATTTCCACTCATTCCCGCACGTGACGCAGAGGCAGACTGCATAGTTACGCCTCACACTACATGCCTGGCACCAACGCCGAAGCGGGCTGTTCAATTCACCACACCCACATCTCCACTCAAAGAAACTCGTTGACCAACCTCTGCCCACAAGGCCACAATCGCTACAACTTCCACCTCCTGCAGCAGCGTCACCACCCAGTGGAGAGTAGGAAAAACACCCCTCACAATACCACAGGAACGGCGTCACGGGTAACTCCTTCCAAGAGGGGACGACCTCGGCATCATCTTCGGCTGTCATCCGGCACGGGTGAGGACGGTGACAACCGAGGCAAGTATCCATGTAGTCCCCAGACGCCGAAACCCACGAGCAGCGCGGGCAAATCCACTCATGTTCCACCAAATCCCGTGATACACAGCCTATGCACGAGACATGCCCTGCTTGAACGGGATTCAGACTTTTACACCCACATTGCCAGGACGGAACCGACCTTACGCCTGCTCGATCCGACACCAAAGGTACCGCCAACAACTGCGATGAGGGAACATCCCGAATGCTTAAACGTAGCGGGCGGCCAATGAACGCCCCCCACTTCGCCAATTCAGCAGTATACCGTTTCATTGACTCAGGCAACTTTACAACCGCCTCAAGTGCGGCATTTATACGAGTGCCCAAGTTCAACAAACCATAAAGTGCAGCAAAACAAGGATGGCCATGGCTCCTCATAGCATCGTACATTTCACTGCCGATGAGCTTGCGTGGGCTGAGGAGGATTTCCAACTCCTCGTGGCAAAAGGTTTGCCTAACCTTTTCACTCCCTGGATCAGACTCAAGACAGAGAAACATCTCCGTAACAACCGCCACCGTACAAACGTCAAGAAGCCCACGCATTGGGCCAAAGTGTAGTCGTTTGCACTTGGCCAACATGCTCTCCACCCCTGTGTCGCGAAGAAGTCGCAGCAACTCCCACGCGGTGTCGGAGGAGATGCCGCTGTCAACGTGTCCGCCACCGTCACCCCCACACCGGGTGTGAAATAAATGCATCACGCTAAGAATAGCTTCCCGGTAGCGATCGCCCTCGGCGTTGTCATTTTTCGCAAAGACGCAAACGTTCATGAGAAGTGTAACTGGTCGTGACAACGCCGTGGTAACGGAGGCGCCTTGCCAGCGCTGCTGGCGGAATATGTTGTTGAAGGCAAAAACAGCATACTCGAGTGTGCACACCCATCTCTTGTCACGCTCCAGCCCTGACTCGCGACGACCAGGGATGGCTAGGTAGTACTCGAAGAGCTCCGCGTCATGCAACAGAGCAGTGCCGCCTGCTGGCATGACAAGTTCCTCCCCATCTACTACAGCGCGGAATAGCTCTGCGTATTGCAGAAGACGATACTGCTCCACATACGACTTTCGAAGTTTGCGCAGGAGCACTGGTGGCATGCGAGTCACAATGGTACCTTCCTCTAGCTGGGGCAAGAGTTGTTGCACGCGCGTAACATCGACGTAGTACTCACGCACCATGGTGAGAAGCTCTCGATGGGCGCTGTCAAAGGTCACCGCTTCCGTGAAGGCGGGATTGGCGGACAACGCAAAGAACACCTGGTGCCAGTAATGCAACTGGTCACCGGAATCATTTGGTTTTTCCCGCTCAACCATCCCCCGCCACGCAACCGGAGGCAACGTCCGCAAACCAGAAATGTCCCCCGATGAGGATGCGGGTACAGACTCCGCACTATCGCCCCATAGCCACGGCAGCCAGTCGAGATGCACTGAGGGGACCAAAAAACGCGCTACCTCTTGACGCGTACGCCTATCTTCCAGCAAGCCACGGCGGTGCAGCAGCAGCAGCAGGGCCACGTGTAGGGGACGATTGGCATTGTTGAGAAGCGCCTCCGGCGACCGCTGCACTAAATCTGCCCTAGTGGTGAGTGAGACGGGAGGAAGCACAGTGTCGTCGCACTCAGCCTGTATAAGCAGCGCCATGTCGTTCGTCAGAGCATTCCTACACGTACAAACTGCCGGCAGAAACCGTCGCACGAAGAAGCGCCTTTTTGCGGCCCCTATAGGCTTCCTCAGCATGTATGGGGCACTTCAGAAGCGGCAGGGCAAACAAACAAACAAACAGAAACAAAAAAAAACCAACAAGAGCAACAAACGTCCATTAAAGTAAAACACAAACCACACTCCCGTTACAGCAATTCACCAATAACTCACCCGGAATAAGAGGAGAAATCGACTGAAACGTCTTTTCTGAGAAAATAGCAGGTCTGGGGAGCACTCCAGCTCTTCTTGCAGTCTCGCAGTGGGTGCGGTAAACAAAAATAAAGAAAGAGAAAGAGAGAGAAAGAGAAATAGAAATAGAAAGAGAGGAAACTCCCCCAATGTATACAATACCGATAGTGTGCAAGTAACTAATTACAGCTTTCCATGTGTGTCTATCATTTAGACTCATGGAGACATGTAGCGAGAATGTAAATGAAAAAAGATACATGTCAGAAAGAAAATGATGTGCTCTTGTTAAGTCCTGCCGTAGCCTCTTCCTTTTTCTTGGCTGAGAGGTAACGATGCCGGTGGTGGAGTGGCTCGTGACGCTGCCGTTCAGCAGCAAACATTTTGTCTGACGATGGCTGATTGGGAAGACGGAAGCTTGGGGAGAGGGGAGGTGTCGTTGCGAAGCTCAATGCGTCGTCACCGCATCCACTTGCCGTTGGTGTCAAGTCTGCAGCGCCCAGGCTTCGCTTGTGCTCTTCCCATGCAGACAACCAAGCAAGTCGCGCCTCCCGCAAGCGTGACTCTTCCGTAACTGCGCGAACTCTAAAACTCCGCTGCGGAAGTTCCTTTTGGTGTAAGGTCAAAAACAAATCATCGTCATTTTTATTCTCACTATCCGCGGGAACTCCATGGATCTGCTGCTGCCGCTGGATGCTCGGAGCCTGTCCAAAAGCATCGTGAAGAATATGGCGCATAGTGGGCCCGTATATGTGGACAAGTTCCTCTTCAAGCTGCGCCAACTGACGTTTCCTTTTGTCGATTATTTGCTCGTCTAGCGCCCTCCTCAGTGCGTGTTGGCTCCGCCGCTCATCCTCTCGCATCCGCCACTTCTGCAGGTCTAGAACTAGGGCCTGAGAAGCGCGAGCATGGCGAAGGACGTCATCGATACCGCCCTTCCCACGGGGAAGCATGCCACTTTTGTAAAGTTCGTGTTGCCGTTTCACGCGACTCGTTTGTCCCTCCTTTGGCACACTGTTCACATCACAATCCTCTGCCCACGGCGGCGTTAAGGCCGAGTTCTCCGCTCGTAAAGCAGGCAAAGGCTTGGGAGTAGGGCGCGGGACTCTGCCATGATGCTGTCGACGACTGCTGGCCGCGACGAGTGACACAGAGCTGGCCTTATCTCTACGCAGTGGCGGACCCTCAATTGGCCGCCACACCTTAAATCGCTCTTCGTCAGGTGTGTCCTCCGCTTCCGAGTCGTCATGGCTCAGCTCCCCTGCATTTTCACCCTCCCCCTGCTGAGGCTGCTTTGGAAGTGAGGTGGCCGCGTTGTCATCCACGCATTCGTCCTCGGCATCACAATCACCCTCGTACTTCCCTCGCCCGAACCAGAAGAGCCCGTACTTGCTGTCGGCGTCGCGCGGGTAGGTTTTCGGCTTAGGCGCACATCCGCGAAGCGAGTACTGCTCGCGCATGCGGTCTACTTTCTCCCGCAGGCAATGAGCAGCATACTGTGTTTCATTCGTTGCCTGGCGGCGCTGCTCCGCAAGCGCCTGCCTCTCCCCCTCTGTTAACTGCTTCTCATCCTTGAGTGAGGAGAGGTGCAGATACCGCATGAGGTCAAACTCCTCCACATTGTCTGAGGCCATGTTTTCGCCTATCTACTTCCGTACCCTTCTTCACTCCTTCTCGCTTGGCAGCGAGAGGGCCTCTACGCGTGCATGCGTCCCCCACAAAATGGATTCCCAAGAAGGCCAACGGGAGAAAAAACAACAACAAAGGGGGCAAGACCAAAATAATAGCAAGTCTTCCCGCATACAGGGAAAAAATGCACCGCCACCTCCTGGCAAAAGAGAAAATATATACCGCGCATCAGTCTCATCGTTGTTGTTCTACGTGTGCGTGTGTGTGTGTGTGTGTGTGTGTGTGTGTGTGTGTGGGTGGGTGTGGGCGATTTTCTGTTTGTTATTTGCTTTGTACGTATGTGTGCGTCTGCGGATGTACATTTTGGCAATTCTCCTTCCGTTGCGCTTCCCTCCCCCCGTCCCCACAGAGGCCTTGGCTCAGTCGGAGTCGTCCCACTCGCTACGCTGCGTCGGCTTCACCTCAACACGCTTGTCGTACTCGTAGCCGGGATCGCCGGGTCGTAGTATGTTTTCCAGAAACCTCTCCTCCATTTTTGCTTTGAACTCCTGCAGAGTGACATCGTCGGCGTCGTTGAGGTCCACGTTGTCCAGAGCCGACTCAGGGTCCCGGTAAAGGAGACCTACGTCGGCCTTGTTCGCGCCACTCAAAGGCTTCGCCCCGCTATCCAAGTCTACTGCCGCAGCGGACACGAATGATGTTTGCTGTTGCTGCGGGTTGTCATGTTCATGGGGAACTTCATGCGTCACGCCATTTGTGCTGTGGCTGATGTCGTGCTTCTCTACGACGCGCCGCATGAGGCCCTGAAGACGCACAAGGTAGGCGCGAAATCGTTCTTCGCTGACCAAGGTGCCATGGGCACGTGCGAGACGCTTGGCGAGCGGTGCAGTCGGCCCGCTGTCGTGGAGAACGCCCTCGAGGTGAATGCGGTAGCAGCGGGGTTTTCCAGAACACGTGCAGAGAACATGTATTTCTGCCGGCTGGGCGCGGAGCCCGACGCTCTTTAGCGACACGGGATCGTCGCCCTTGGGGTCCGCCCTCCACCACTGCGACGGCGTCATGGCGTCAAGCAGTAGGCGCTCTATGAGGTCGTTGACGAGTTCGTCAACGGTAACTGTGACCACAGCTCGCGATGCAAGCTCCTGCACGCGGTATTCCGCAAACCTCAAAATTGCCTGAGTTGGTATGGAGACGGTAAGCATCGCGGCGCAAGTTTGAAGTGCATCCGCGTATTCCTTCAGCTTACACCCGGCGGAGTACAAACTACGTGTCACCTCCTCCGCCTCCTGCAACGCCCCTGCTTGAGACTCCTTCAGGCGCTGCCGCAAAGCGGCATAGCGGGTGGTCAGTTCCCGATACCACTGCGTGTTCTGCAGCAAAGATGGGCTTCGGGCGACACGGACGTCGTCGCCCCTGCGCACACAGCGGGTACGAAGCGCCAACTCACAAAATGCCGCCTCTGGATCACTTCCGTATTTGCGATACAGATGGTAGACGAGAATCCACAGTTCAAGCCCTAGGTCCGTCAGAGACGCCTTCCCTCCCATCACGCCCCAGTGCTCACCACCACCTCGGGCTTCCTAAAGAAGTTTCCTACCCACGCGGAGAAAAGCGCAGAAGCAAGAAAAAGACACGTCACAGTGGGTACATCCAAGGCGGCCACCCCCGCACTGGCCTCATGTTTAATAAAGGGGACAAGGGCGTGGGAAGCAAAGGCAAAAACAGGGCCAAAAAATATATATATCAAAGGTAGCTATTGTTTTTTTTTTAAAGCGGCGCACCTACCGCATTTGCCGCCTCGGCCGTTTTCTTCCCCGCCGTGCATAGGTGTTGTTTGCCGCCCCACGGATAACCGGCGGGTCGAGCCAAGACAGCATCTTCAGCCGTACCATCTCCCGTTGGCGATAGCCCTCCTGCTGGCTAGCGGCTCTGCGATTAGCGTCAATGCGTGCGAGCATAGAGGTGGTGCTTGACACAAGACGCAGCGCCTTTGGTCGCAACTGTGGTGGGTGATTAACAACAAGGTCCGAGTTGCTGAGAAACCCCGTTGTTCTAAGTAGAACACCAGAAGCGTCGGCGCGCTTACTACCCAGCTTTGCCAGTTCCGTCGAGTCCATCGTGGCGAGGGCAGTGACGCCACCGGCGATGGCAAACAGTTGTGAGGTGATACCCGTCCCCAAAAAGGCGCAGAGGTTGGGGCAGATCAGAGGCATGGAGCGTTGAATGTACTCCAGAAATGTCTGCTTTGCTGCCTCGAGGGTGTCAATCTCCTGGCAGGCCTCGAGGACACGGTGCAGCTCCTCTTCAGCTAACTCCCTCCCCGCAGTAGTGGAGGCGCAGGCGATCACAACCGCAGTAAGCTGCGACGGCACCAATTCGTCAAGCTGGTCAATGACAACGGAGAGGTCCATGTTATTTTGTATCAATCGCACAATACGGGCGTAAAGCACACTGTCGGAGAAGAACATGGCCAACTCCGGAAATCGTTGTCCATAGTGTGCCCGTAGGTACACGGCAGCCTTGCTCTTCTCCACCTCAATACGCAGAACAAGTGTACTAGAATCGATGACGAATTGGTACTCCGGCTCCTCCGGCATGATGGTCTTCTTCACCTCCTCTTCTTCGCTGTAGTCGCTCAGCTTCTGCAGCATCCGACTCATGTATGCGGAGCGCAAGAGAACGGTCACCTCCTTCACACTATCAAGGCGAAGTGCGTCATCTTCAGATGCAATTGTCTGCGCTGTGGCGAGCGTCTCTTCGGCGTATAAATCCGCCGCGTCCTCCGCGCCGCCGTAGTGCTGCGGTTCCTCGCCAACGTCTTCCCAGCCCTCCTCATTGTTGTCCATCTTGGCCCGGCTGCATTGGCCACGTTGCAAAAGATGAGGTAGAAGAGAGAGAGAAAAAAAAATAAAATAAAATAAATACATAAATAAAGGAGCGGAGGCATGAAATTGGGCGGAAAAACAGAGAGCAAGAAGCGGGGGAAACGGGACGACGCTGAACACCAAAACGGTAGCAACAAGGGCAATAATGGAAACGCGAATAAGCACGTCGAAAACATTGATAATTTAATGGAAGCAAGTTAGTCAGACTCGTGCTCTTTCCTCCTCTTTTTTCTTTTTGCTTTTCATCCTCCACCTCGCTCGCATGGCTGTCCGCCAGCTTCTTGGCCCGTCTTCCAACACTGGAGCCTGCCAACGGGCACAAAGAACCAGAGCCTGAAAACTAAAAAGCAAGGAGGGAAGAGAAGCGAATAGACTTAGTAGTCATCCCCGGAGCTGTTCCATCCGCTGCTGAGGGAGGCCTCTGTGTAGCCCTCGTCGTACCACACGCTCCCGTAACGCCCATGGCGGCGCCGCGCCGTGCCATTTCTCTCCTCTGAGTCCGTCCGCCCCGTCGTGTCGCTGCCCGTGCTCAGCTCTTCCGGGTACTCGTTGGCCGAAAAATCCGCCGCGTTGCTGTCGTACTCGTCGTCTCTGCGGTGGTCGGGATAAATGTACAGCTCCGGCTCACAACCCGCATCTTCCTCCAGCAGCAAGCAGTCCTGCCCATGGTCCCGCAGAGTGTCAAAGAGTGAGAGTGCCTCCTCGCAGCCATGTGGGTGGTCGTCACCCGCTGCAGCGCACGGCCCCAGCAACAAGCTATACTCCGGCGCATCCGTGTCCCGAAACCGCTTGCGGCGGACGCGGCATGTCCCCACGCCAACCTCCGACGTGTCAACCCCGCCGTCCTCTTGAGCTCGTGTGATGGTCAAGTCGTCAAAGCAAAATTCATCGTCAGTTGCTGTTGCCGCTTCATTTTCTTCTTCCAGTTCATCCTCCTCGCCGATAGCCTCCCTGTCAAGCACATAGAGTAACCATTTTTGTGTGGCCTCTGCTGCTGTGGTCCGCCTGTCAACCTTTTCTTCCTCTGTTCCGAGTATAGAAGGTGAATTGAGCCCCCGCTTCCGCTCCACTGCCGCACAATCCATCACCGTGCAGCCTCGTAGGCTCCACAACCGCTCAACTGACAGCCGCGGACTTGGGGCGGGAAAGACACCGTCGTGCATGTTACTTGGCGCGTGAACGGGAGGGGCGGAAACTCCCACTTTTGGGAGCAGCCGAAAGTGCAACGTGCACGAAGCTTGCTCTGTGCCCAACGACGCAGGCGGTGATAATGCCACACTACCCAACGCGCGGCACACTATATTTTTGACATCGTCCTTTTTTTCCAGGCGAATCCGCAGGCGCGACGGGGCCGCATCCTCCTCACCTGCGGCGTCCCAGCTGCGCAGACGTTTCACGCGCATGTACACACCCCGGGAGCGTGATGGCACGAGTTGCTGTAGCTCCATCGCACGCCGAACATCTTCGTCGCACACGCTCATTCCGTCGCACACATCACACCACGACTCCCTTTTCTCCATGCATTTTCGCCATGCGTCGGGGGGAAAAAAGAATAATAAAAAGGGAGAAATACATAAAAAAGGCACATGCACACATGCCTATTAGATACATACATAACTATACCCATATATATATATAGCCAGAAACCGATATATAGACGTGTGTGTTCGTTCCTTTATCCCTTCTTGCGGTAGCCTCTCGCTTTTTTTTTTTTTGGGGGGGGGGAGTAGTGTACATGCACTCGTTCCCCTTTTCCTCTCGTTGTCTCGCACCGTTCCAGCG